CAAACAGGGAAAACGGGAATCTGGTCACAACGTGGAAGGTTTTTATTCAAACGGCATGAAGTGCAGTAATATTTCTCTCGCACAAAATGATGTCAGGTAGGCTGGCGGGTCAGCGCCCAGCCTCAGGGGTTCAGCGCCCAGCCTCAGGTGGGGTGGTGTCCACATCACACAGAGCACCCCACTGTTACTTTACTGATCGGTGTCTTCCTTTGCGAATCCAAGGACCCAGCGGGCCCTGGAGCCTCCACTCCTCTCTTTCCCCTAGAGGTGGTCCATTTGCGTCAAAAAGGAGGCAGGCGGTGGGGTTGTGACCGAGGAAACTTGTCCTGATACAGCCTGTGCCCTCCTGGCTCCATAATGTGCAGGGAACTCTGCTCGCCAGCCTGGCAGCTTTCCCCAGCACAAAAATGCATTTTGAATTTTATTAGAAGGTTTTAAAAGGAAAAGAAAGAAAAAGCCGAGCTGATGCTTTTGTGAAGGTGACACTGCCCTTAGTGCTGTTATGGAAACAACGTCCAGAGTCTGGTCCTGGTCTCAAAAGAGGCAGAACTAACCCTCGCTCCCCACTGGGAACTGGGTCTCTAAGGACGTAAGCATCGCCCACCACAGTCCAAAAGGGGAGGCACTTGAAAGGTAGTTTGTTTTTCTTTTATAAAATCTCCGAGGGTTAGGACTGTGTGGGCTGTCTTCACAAATATAAATCCTGTTTGGGGACCTTTTAGATGAAATCTTTCCTCACTGCCAACAAGGTTACAATGGGGTCCCCCCATTTTGATCCATTCCATCTGGCAGATAAGCCCCTAATTCTGGCAGCAGAATTGGATCGGTGGGGTGGCATATACTGCCAAAAGTGCGAGAGTCACACGTGGATGATGCATTGTGCTCCGGGCTAATGCAAGCAACGTGCAGAGACCGTGGAAGGTTGCCCTGAATTAGCCACGATCCCTACATCATGCATATGTGACTGTTGTATTCCTTTTTGGCCCTTGATGAGTAGGACTGGTTGCTTTGTTTCCACAATGGGGTAACTAGTTACAGGTTTTTTTCTGGGAACGCTCTTTCCTCTGCATCTCTTCAGTGGAAGGTCGGGATAAGCAGGTTTGATCACACAGGTGCCTTGGACCAGTATTTATAATCAAGGGTCGTATCTTGAATTTAATTGTGTATTGAATGGAGACGTAGTGCAGAGAGCGGAGCACTGTAGACTGGCTCTTTGAGGCCTATATTGCTGAGCAGAGTTATGAAATAATGTTAACCTTTAAGTGAAAGGCAAGGATGTCTTGGGGTCATCTCTTTTACTGGACCTACTGTATAGTTGGGGTAGAGTTAGACAAGTTTTCAAATGCAAGACATTCTTCATCAGGTCACCTTTAAGTGGGACAGTGTCGTACATAGGAACAGCAATATAGTGATGAGGCCATGGCAATCAGTATGCCAGCAACCACTAGGCTTATGTTTCTATCTGACAGGAAAGGACACAGCAATGACTAGTTCTCTATGCAGATACTGTGGCCCTTATAGCAATCTGAGAGCATCTGCTCACAAATGTTGGTGATGTTAATATAAATGGGTGCCGCCTTGAGCCTTTCTTGGGAAGGGCGGCATATGAATCAAATCAATTAATACATAGAGTCCACTCCAGCCCAACTCACCCAAGTCCCATTGGCTTTGAACCAAAGGTTTCTTAACTAAACTCTGGTAAGGGCTCCCAGGTTAAGGTGCACCTCCATTTCTTTCTATCCAGTGTCTGGTGTCTACACAATATTGCATGGTAATGGGACCGTGTGTTTTGGTGCTCCATACCTTTTCGGATCAGCTAAGTTTGACCGCAAGAGAACTTGTCAGCTACTGTAGACTCCAAACCAGAGTTTTTGTAATCTAATACCCTGCTATTTAATATATTCCAGTTTTATTGCATCGTAAAGGAAGACATAAAAGAAATAATAAAATTAGGCTTATTGTGAAGGAAACATCTAGCAGCTATTACCTCTGGGAAGGGAAAGCTGAACTCTGGTTTTGTAGCAAGTCAGAGTTTCTACTTAAGCATTACAAGAGGGTTTTCTTTAACCCATTTTTGGTTTTTAGTTTCAGTGAGAATAGTTTTCTTGCTATTTGCATTCAGAGTCCTCCCTAGCATTTGCAACCCAGACCTCACAGTACTATCCTTGTGCAGTGATGTTCAACTTTTTGACTCCACAGGTCAGATAGGTGGTACAGGATTGGTCTGTGAGCTGGATCAGACCTTGCATGCCTGAATCGAGCCCCATGCTGTCTCCATCTGCCCCATGTGCCAGGAGCAGGTCAGGCATGCTGCCTTAGCCCAGTCCCACAACTGAGCCCTGCATTGCCCCCACTCAGTCCCGTGCTCAGGGTTTGGGCCCCAGGGCCCCATGCTGTCCCATGTGCTAGGATCAGGCTCTGGGGCCCCGTGCCACTTCTGCCAACACACACCAGGATCAGGCCCCATGCCACCCTGTGTGCCCAATCTAGTGCAGAGAGTCATGCCCTGTTGCACTCCCCACAGACTGGTGGGAAGCCCTGAGAGCCAGATGACACAGTGTCAGGGGCTGGATCTGGCCTGTGGGCCAGGAGTGGAGCACCCCTGTCCTAATGCATGGGAATCAGGAGATGAAACTGTCTGGTCCTGTCTAATTTTCCAGGCTGTATGAAATGTACACAATAAACAGGATGATGGTGAAAAGCAACATTTCAATTGCAATTTTTTTTTTCATTTTTACTAGTCTGGCATTGATGGAATATCTGCTAAAAAAGAGGGTTTGTTAGATATGCAGTTTCATATCCAAGTGACAGTAAATGGTTGCTGCATTTCCCTTTCATATTTCCCCCAATAATACAAGTGCAATATGGCTTTGGGATGCAATAAGGGATGTATGCATTGCAGACTGGAGATAGTCAGGAACCAGATTCCACAATTTGATTTCTGTTTCAGATTCAAATACAAGTCAAAATGTTTGACAAAGGCACAGCATGGATGTAAAAATATTGTTTCAGCTAGCTCAGGATGAAACCCTAATGTTTCATTCACCTTTTTAATATATTTTTATATTTTATATACTGTATTTAATCTGTTATTGTTGTTTATCATTTATTATTTTTGTTATATGTTTATATTTTATACAGAAATAGATTTTTCACACATATATATATATTGATATATTAGAAAATGTAAAAAGGAAACATTAAAATGGGCAGATTTCTGCAAAACATTTTGCTTTTGTCGAACAGATCTTTCTGGCAATTCTCTCAGAAAGTTTTGAAGGAATTCTGCTCCATTCAGGTCCAAATTTTGGGATGGTTTATAGTTAAAATCCCTCTTTCAGTAACTCAGAGTCCTTTAGACCTGCTTCCAGCTGCTACCAAAGTGTCAGGGAGTTGCAGTTGGTGTAGCTGATGTTTGGCAGTTACACACGACAAGGGAGATTTGTCCACGTGGAATGAGAGGCTGAGAGACCGCTGCTGCCATCTGAGCCCTGGCAATCAGAGCAGCAGAGCAAGTTTTGCCACTGACAAACCTGCCAGAGAGTGCCAACCTTTCGGAAGTTTGCAAACAAAGCAAAATGTTTTTCAGTTCAAAACTGTGCACCATAGTGGCAAAGTTGTGGGGACTGAAGTGGGGAAAGGGGCAAGGAACCTGGATATTTTTTACTATAGACATGGTGAAATTCCTCTGACTTCTGTCTGGAGTCAGTTCTGAGAAAATTCCTAATTTTGCCCAAGGGACTGTGAAAGTGTGGGGTTGAATTGGCCTGTAGAAGCCAGGACCCAGATAGCAGGGGGTGCTTCAGGTCACAGGAAAAAAGGCAACAGCAGAGCGTTGTGAGTGAGGGTACTGTGATGACTGTGTACTGCAAGTAGAGATGCATTGGGGAAATGCATGTGGACCCCAGACTAGGAAATAAGGTGGGTCATAACGGTGGGGGGCAATGGGGAAGCCAGTGCTGTTGTGACATGTTGTTCTCTATCTTTCAGTCTCTAGACCTGTCAGTCTGATACCTCCAACTGGCTTGACATTTACTTTCCAGAAGGGAAAATCCCTTGTCAAACAGAGTGTCTGGCTTAGGATCTTCTTAAAGGAAGGCAATAAAAAGCAGAGCCAAGAAAGCAGACAGCGCAGAGGGATCTTTGGGAACATTCCCCGGGACCCAGCTGGGGAAGAGAGGACCTGACCTCCCTGCACAACAAGCCCCTCTGCAGTTGTTTGATAGTTAGCTTGCACAAAACAAGCTCCAGAGACACCACTCACTCTCCCGCCGCCTCCTGCTCTTTTCAGCTCCTTGATCCACCCCAGAGGCGAAACCCACTCAGTTTTTCACAGCTTTGCTGAACATACATACACACACACACTCCCAAGAAGATAAACACACACACACACTCCCAATCAGATGCATACACATACATGCAGACATATGCACACACACACACACCACATACACACACATACACACACTCCCAATCAGATGCATACACATACACACACACACACACACATACACACTCCCAATCAGATGTGCAGCTCTCCAGCTGTTGCATTCACACACACACGCACACACATACATGCACCCAGCCAGATGCATAAACACACACACACACACACACTTCCAATCCAATGTGCAGCTCGCCAGCTGCTGCATTCCCGCTGCCCTTTGCTTGGAAGAGCTGCATCTGCGTGTATGGTTTAATATATAGAAACAACAAAACAAAGGAGGATGGAGGAGATGAGAAGGTTGCAGACAGAGTGGGATGATGATGCTTATGCTTTTGGGGAATCGACTTGCAGAGAACTGGCAAGGAGGCAAAGACCACGCAGCCGGAGGGGAGCCCAGTGGCATCTGCATTCTCTCAAGGCAAGGAGCAAACCTCTCCTCCCACCCCCAGCCCCACATTGGCCCTTTCTGTACAAAGCAGCAGTATAAACCCCTCCCCTCACTGCTTTCACTCCAGCCACCTTCCCTTTTCTGTTCATTCAGAACAGATGATGCTCCTGATCACATGCGCTCATCTCCTCTCTCCCCCCACCCCACCCGAGCCCTTTAAATAGCCTTATTACACCAAGAATTCATTTGTACTACAGGAGGGAGAGAGGGAGCAAACAAAGAGAGGGAGGGAGATTTGACAGACAAAAGTACCACTGTAGTGCCGGAGGGCGGGGGTCTGGGAACCATGATGGCTCTGTCAGAGCCAGCAAACTCCAGGGATAGCTAGGGACAGGGGACGTGCATTTGAATCAATAGTGCTCTACAAATGTTCTGTACTAGCAGGCAGGACTGGGGAGGGAGTGGAGAGCCTGGGATGAGAAGACTCCAGTGCTCCGGTGATGGCATGGACCGGACACTTCTCCAGTGGCTGTGTTACCTACCTCTTATCTCTGTCACCGTCCAGTACCCCCAAGGTGCCAGGGAACAAGACTGATGTGGAGCGGCTGTTAGCAAGTAAGTTACTCTGTGTGTTTGCTTTCCACCTCTCACTCTTGTCTGGCTGCAGAAAAGCAAGAGCCTAGAAAGCCAGAGGACAAGTGATGAAGTTACTAGGGCAGCCAGCCATGGGGCTTCTGATCCCAACCCTGGGAGGGTGACGGCCAGTGAATTGGTATTTTCCTACCCACAGGATGCCAGGGCCAAATTAGGAAGGCGGGCTGGATTCGGATCTATGAGCATGCCATTGTTGGATCTGGCAAAGGAGTTTGGGGATAGAGACATGAAATATTGAGGTACTGTGGGAATAGGGGTTGTATCGGACAGACAGACAGTAGCTGAACAACACTTAAAACGGTGGAGCAATGCCGAGTTTACATCTGGATCAGCAATTAGGTCATTTAAAATTAAGGCATGTAATACTTGGTTTGAGATTTAAAGAGTTGTTACATTTTAGGCTCCGAATTATAATGATGATGGTGATGGTGATATTGGAGTGGGTTGTGCTGCTGGGCTGTTTTATGCATGGGGAATCCTTATTGGTTCTTTGGTGTTTGTGCCTATGACAGATAGGAGGAAGATGTGTCTGTGCAGTGTCCGCTGTCACTCCACATGGCTCGCACAGACACTGTGAGTCCTTCCTCTCAGTTGTTGATAGTGTGCTGGTCTGGCACCAGGTCCCAACTTTATATTGCACACATGTCACTCCTCAGTGAACTGGGTTTCATGATCTGGCAGAGCCTTAACAATTCAGGGCCAGTTCTCAGAGGGATCATTTCTGATATCCAAGCATGAAACTGAAGTGTTAGTAGTTGGATGCAACCTGGGTTTGACTGGGGTTGGCAGGGAGTGGTATGTCAAGAACCACTGGTCTTTACTGGCATGGGTAATGAGTGAAATTGTTTTTTATTTGTATTATGGTAGTGCCTGAAAGCCCACGTTCTGGAGCAGGTCTCCATTGTGCTAGGCACTGCACAAGCAGAACAGAGTCCCTGCCCCAGAACATCCACAGTCTGACTTCTAGCCTGGCTCCTAGCCAGTTGTGTGACCTTAGCTAGGTCACTTCCTTTCTTTGTGCCTCAGTTTCTCCCATCTGTAAAATGGGTTTCATAGCACCACCCTAGACTATGGGGGTGTTCCTAGGCCAGCTGACTTTTGAGATCTCTGGTTGCAAGGTCCTGCAGAAGTGCAAGGGGATAGGGACAGCTTTCATTTTCCAACTGGTGCAGGATTCTGTCGTGTCTCTCAGTTGCTCTTTGGGTTCAAGAATCATTGAACATGTAGCAGGAATATTAGTGCTTTTGAGTCTGGGTAGAGATTCCCCTTACCCAAGTTCCACTTGCCATATTCTGACAGTATAAATAGCAGGGGTATGAGCTGAAGATAATTGGACCAGAAGATGGGGCACTGATGCTGCCAAACAGCCCTTCAAACATACCAGAAGGGCAACAGATGTCCCTAGAAACAGGGAGTAGGACAAATGTATGGGAAACTGAGATGCTTCAGAGAGCTTTAGGCCTGGAAAAAGTCATTTCCCTGAAAGTGGGTGGATGAAATGGCCCCACGTTCAAGTTTGCTTTATGAAGGAACCAACTGTTGTCTGAATAACACGGACACAGATAAGACTACCCAAGCAGCAGCCTGGGCCTGTCCCTGCATCCCTAGGCATACTGCTCACCACTTACAGTGCTGTGAAATATAACTTCCTAGTTAATTATTTTATAATAATTATATTCTCCTGTCCGCTGCTTGCAGTATTTGAACTCCCACTGAGCCCGTCATTATAATAGGTTGCATACACTCCGTCATCTCCATACTTGGTATCTACTCGCTCCCTAGTCATTATTTTCTATAAAATAATTCTCACTCTTGTAATTCTTTAGCTGCTCACTGAGGTCATTAGAATATCTCGTAAGGCATTTCCCGTCTTTCTCTTTTGTTTAAATACAATTAAGCTTTTTTCCCATTAACATTTGAGCTCCTCCGCTCTGTTTTTTATTAGACCAACTTTGGTATATTTTAATACACCCACAATTTTGTAATTTCCATGGGATTTTTTCATGCTTGAATTCCCACTGGAAAAAATGCATTCAAAATCTCTGCCATTTCTAGATGAAGTTGATGTAAACAGAAAGAAAAAAGAACAAGTGGGGGGGCGGGGTTAGCTAGGTTGGTTTTTTTAGCATATTACACTTTTGAAAAAAGTTCACAATAAAAACAGAATTTTCTCCCTTTAGCAATAAAAATAAGATATTGATATTTTCTGTCACATAAAACTACACAGGCCGAGTTCGTTGCTGGCATAAATGAGTGCAGCTCCACTGATGCTGAAAGAGCTACCATCATTTACACAAACCGCGGGTTTGTCCTGACACTTGTAAGGTTAGTCATAAGTCATTTTTGGTATACCTTTTTGAAAAAGGAACTGTATGTCCCTTATCAGAGCTGGAACTCTACAGAAGTCTCTGTAGAAATTACTGTAAAATCTGTAGGATTTAATAGAGAACGGTCGCTTCCTTCCAGGTTTCATGGTTCACTTCCCATTGCCTATAGTAGGAGTTTAATTCTCTATTAAATTCTATATAAGATAGTCCAGAAAATCTATCCGCCATTGAGTCATAGTTTTATCTTGGACCAGTCATTCTGTGACTCAGTGGGTACATTTACACATGCAATTAGCACATATTAATAAACTCCAGCATGGTTTGCACTGGAGTTTATTGCTCTAGGGTGCAGTGTTTACATGTGCACCCAGGACCGCAGCCTGCTGAGCCGGGGTGGAGCAGCCCCGGCTAGCAGGGACTCTGAGGGGGGTTATCTTGCCAGCCTGGGACTACTCCTCCCTGGCTTAGTGTGCTGTGGAGATGCTGGCTGGGGCACGAGGATGCTACAGTGCAAGGCTAGGCAGCAGGCAACCCCTGCACTGTAGCACACTCATGCCCCAGCCAGCCCCAGTCACTGTCTACATGTGCGTTTTGGTGCACATAACTACCCCACTGTAGGATAGTACTTGTCCTGGACAGTATTATCCTACAGCAGAGATCATTAATTTACCATGCCCTAACACAGGTGCACATGTAGATGGTGGCACTTTACTGCGGAGCTAATTAGTCAGCTCCACAGCAAAGAACATGAGTAGATGCACCCAGTTTTACCAACAAGGACATTAGCAGTAATGATTATGAAGGGCAAATACTATCTACTGGACAATAAACATCCTTCCTATGCAACCTTGTTCCACTTGCAATTGGGATTTCCTTACTGCCTTGTGCAGATATCGATCAGTCCTGATCCAGTTTAGCCATGAATAAAAGTGTTTCCAGAACATGGTGCTGTGATTGCAGGCAGTGGCTGTGGCAGTGTGCGTAAAGTCATTGGGCCTTCATAATTAAAGATGCTGTTATCCTACCCTACAGGAGGACGATAGCTTACATTTTAAAAAGTTTAGTCCAGACGTAGAAATGGTGGGAATCATATTTTGCTTTGATAGATCAATGGAAGAGAAGGAGCAAAGTCCAGTGATTAGGACTGGGAAATTTGGGTTCAAGCCTCTGGTTTGCTGCAGACATCCCAGGTGATATTACAAAAATCATGAAATTTCTCCCACCTATAATGGAAATTAGAGCATTTCCTTATCTCATTGAGGGGGCAAGAGGTAAATGCACTCAAAGCCATAAAGTGTTCAGGTAGTTCAGAAATAGATATCATATTGAGAACAAAAGGGCTCAGGATTATTAGTACTTTGGTCACCTGGTATCTTTGGGGGACTGGATAGACAGATAAGAAACAGCCAGAAATACTTCAACTACCCATTAAGTCAGTCTTCCCACATGTTATTCCAACTTCCTGCCCAGAGAGATTTTCTTACCAGCCATTTTTGGAAAGACTCTGTTATAATATTTCTAAGCCTAACAAACCCTGAACAGACAGGCAGTCATCAACCCAGCTCTGTAGCAAGCAGCAAAGCTTCTCACTTCCTTTGGTAACTGCCTAGCTAATCATCAATCAGCCACTTTTGTGTATCCGTGGGTAGGTATCTCCTTCAGCCCCAGAGGAATTCCATTGTAGCTCAGCAGTCATGGCTGTCAGTGTGCAAGAGGAGCGATGATGCCAAGTTAATGAAAGCTCAAAGAGGAAATGAAAAAAATCTTGATACTTTGGTGCTGAGTGAGATTACACTTTGGAAAGGAATTATTGGGGTGGGGGGGGGACGGTCATGTGTTTTGAACCACATGTTTATCACCAAAGTGCCAGCAGTTTCCCTTCTATGGAGTTTTTCTTTGTCTTTTGCTTTGCCTTTTATAGCAGAGCGCTCTTAAATAGCACGTTTCATCAATAGATCTTAAGCCACTGAACAGCAGAGGTAGCTATCAATATACCCATTTTATGGGCAGGGAAATTGAAGTGTAGAAGGGTCTGAGTGTCTGTCTCTGCCTCTACCTCACTAACTCTCTCTCTCTCTCTCTCTCTCTCTCTCTCTCTCTCTCACACACACACACACACACACACACACACACACACAGAGCACAGCTATTCTTGTAGGTTTGGAAAGGACCTCAAGGGTCATCCAGTCCGATCCCCTGTGTGGATGCAGGATTCACTAAACCATCTCGGATAGATGCTGGTCCAGCCTCTTCTTGTTTCTCCAATGAGAGATCCCGCAGCTTGCCTGTTCTGTAGTCCTGCTGTTCTTACTGTTAGGAAATTTTTTCTTGAGATCTAATCTAAATCTGCTTTAACGTGCTTTAAACCCATTTCCCCTTGCCCTGCCCTCTGTGGCAAGGGAGCCCAATGTCCTTTATGGCAGCCCTTCAAATTTTTGAAAACAGCTAGCAGACCCCCTCCTCCCCCGCCCTTAATCTGCTTTCCTCAAAACTAAAATCACCCAGTTCCTTCAGTCTTCCCTCATAAGGCTTGCGTTTCAGCCCCTTTAGTATCTTAGTTGTTCACTTCTGGATCCTCTCCAGTTTCCCTGGATAGTTTAATCCTAATAAAGTACAGGCTATAAATAAGTGGATGGATGGACAGCTACCTTCCTCAGGGGAAATAAAGGCCCTGTTTATCATTAAGCGTCTGCCCCACAGCCACTTTCCAATAGATTGGGACAGGGAACAGCATTTTTAGACTGATTTTTTTTCTCCATCCTTATGTAGGCACCTTCTATGGATCCTCTGTTTCAGTGGATTTGCCTGTAAATCTGCCCACTTTATTTTCTCTTGTACGTTCACCTGCTCCGTACAAGTGTCGGTTAGGCATTTTAATTAAATTGATGCAATGCAAGAAGAAAGGAAGCTGCAGGAGATTGAGAGCAGGGCCCGGGGAAAGGAGCAGCTGTGATCGTACCAAAATGACTGCCTGTCCCTCTGCTTTGAGCTTCCCCAATCCCCCTTCTTTTCTTTCGTACAACCTGGCTCTTGCCACTTGGAACTGCTAAAGCTTAGGGAAGGGCACAGGGCAGACACATGCAGCATCCCTGCCTCTTGCCCCTGATATTCCAGTCCTGACTCTAACACACTACACCTCAGCTCAGACCTATGGGATTAGTACTCAGCCAGCCCTGATTAATCCCATACGATTACCGGTGCATGACATTCCTGATTTACACGGCAACCTCCTTCCCCCAGCAGCCCAAACCTGCCTGGAGCAGAGAGCAGTGATTCTGCTCACACCGTACCAGCTGCTGCTTGGGAAAATCAGTCACTGAAGGCACAATGGTGGCAAAAAGCTCTGAACGGTGTGTGCTGGGGGCACAGAGGTATGCGGTGTGTGTTAAAGCAAAACAGATTTGCCTGCCCATTACAATAAAGTGAGGAAAACAATTTATTTGCATTTTTCTTCCACCTTCGCAGCACTTCACATCCCCACATAACACCATGACCACGTTATTGTTAATATTATAGCACAAATCATTTCATCGCCGTGCTTAAGTTCCCACTGCGTCCATCACTCTTCAAATGCGTAGAAAGAAAGTGGACCAAAGAATTTATTTTTTCCTATCGACAAGACAGAATAAAAGGTGGAATAAGGGCAGTATTATCATCCCCAGTTGATAGCGAGGGGAATTAAGAGATTTACTCCTGGTCACGCAGGCAATCTGTGTTTCAGAGGTGAGGACTAAACCCCGCTCTGAACCTCGTGCCAGCATCCTAGACCTGTGAGACTTCAGGGAGCAGTGAAATCTTCCTTGCACCAAGATCAGCATTTGACCTAAATTCTTCATAAGAAAAAAAATCACTGTTCTAAGAAAAGCATACTTTCTCACTTCTCTTTTTGTGGTGTTTGCAGCACACTCCTATGTAGGTGTGGGGGGAGCAGGAGGCCTGTTAACCATGGCAGGTAAGGGTTAAAAGCAACCCCTTTAAAACAGTGCCCATCGTTCAGCTACAGCCATTGGGTTGGATGTCAACTCTGAGAGCCCTTCCCTCCATATCACAGCTCACCCCTGCGTCTGGCATCTGGGTGAAAGCTGAGTGATACAGAGAAGCCTGATAAAAGGCCTTTTTGTAAAATTGATAATGCACTGTCTCACAGCTCCTTCTGCAGCAGCTCGCAGCAGCCTGTCCAAAGGGAACAAGCAGCTCTGTGCCAAAGTGGCATTTTTATTATCCTGGCCTTGTGTAATCACAGACGGTAAATGCCAGTGAAACAGCATGGTCCGTGTGACTGTCAGAGGCTGTGGCCATCCATAGATCTATTTACGAAGGAAGGACAGTGAGACACAGACTAAAGGCTTATTTTCCTTTGGATGCTTGCACATCATTTCCATTAGCCAGGAAGCATGTGTGCATGGTGGGGATCGCTGTATGTGTGATAAAGCAGAACCTCAAACTCTCATATCTCTACTCCTTTTTTGCTCTGTGTTGTCTGTGATAGAGTAACCTGGGACATTCAGACCTCTAATGACAAAGCAGGTTCCTGGATTTATTCTGTGCCTAAAATCTCAAGGACAATGTAAATCTCAATATCCCTCATTTTAGAGATGGGGAATTGAGGCACTCCGAAGAGAAGTGATTTGCTCAAGTTGACAAGAAAGTTACCGACAGAATCAGGAACAGAAACCAGGTTAGTGTATTGACTCCCACTTTGAATACTAGATCATGCTGTATCTCTTAAGAAGAGGACGTAATCCCCTTCATTATGAAGCCTGTGATCAATTATCTTCATTAATCACAAGCAGAGATTTAAATTGCAACAGGGGAAATTAAGATTAAATAGTAGGACAAGTTCTAATTACAGTGAAAGTGACAGGAAAGTTACTCTGTAATAGGTACCACCCTCTTTGCATGAAGGGATCATTTTTGAAGTCTCCCCAAGGTTTCTGGGATAATTTCACTTAACCTGTAGTTAAAGAACTAGGCAGCTGATTTCTGCCTGTCCCTCAAACGGTTTGCTTAAGGCAGGTTTCAATGCACTGCCATTAGCATGAAGTCTCTCCAGGCTGTTTGTCAGGAGTCAGAGTTCCAGGGATTTTGATCTTTTGATTTCTTTGATCCTATTTTATTCTTGTCTGTACTGCGTGGTACAGCATCTCATAGCTCAGATCTGGGTATCTTGACTCGTTTCCAGAGTGCCACCAAAAGCAGAATGTAGCATCACATGAATCTTTTACAGGTAAAAATATCAACTTTAATACAGGTCAGGAAGGTGTTTTTTTTTGTTTTAATGAAATCATTCCAAACTTACCTATAAAATGGTTACTTGTTCTTTTTGCTGCTTGTGTTGTGGTTTAGTTTTTTTTACATCTTTCCACACATATAAATGTTCAGAACCTTTGGTCTGAATTAATTAATTTTATACATAGTGAAATGGACAAACTGAAGTCTCCGGGAGAAAGAAGGACATAGTCTCCCCCCGTTCTTATCACTACTGAAGTGAGTGGAGGGGCTGCCCCTAACTGCATATACAGGGTGTGTTCTCTGCAGACCTACACCTGGGAGCGGTGACAGTAAAACTCCACCATTGTGATTTTGCAACATTTTATACCCACTTTGCCCAGCTATCAGTGGACACATGCTGCAGGCCATGGAGAATCAAGCCCAGAGTTTGAAGAGATTTGAAGGTGCAGGCTACAGAAAACAAGACTGAATGCTGCGTAGCTAAGTACAGTACATGGCAGCATGCCATATCTGGTCATTCTCTTTCAGACAAGAAAGGATATAATTGCCACTTCTATATTCCTATTCACTGCCAGACCCTTTGACACTGCCATTAAAGCCAGCCCCTTCCTTTCCCCTCCAGTTGTCCTGTTACCCACCCATGCACTTGATCCTACACCAGGCTGGACACCCCTTGCAGGCTGTGAAATGGGTCATTTGGTGCATGCAGAAGCAAAGGAGATCTGGGCCTGCTGTCCACTGACTGTAGCTGCAGGACCAGTTTTTCTCTTCTCAATCTTTACTTCTCTTTTTGATATCCTCCTTCTCTTGGGCCTCATCACATGGGACACTTAGCACGTTCTATTTAGATCGTAGTCAGCATCACTGTGCTGTATTAAAAGTCAGAATGTGTTACAAGCAGTTGCTCAGTAATGTTTACTGTGACCTCAGCTCAATCTGGGTAGGGTTGGAGCTGACTGTGGCCCCACTCCCACCCCTGACCCTGACCCCAGCACCAGGCAGCTTGCATGTCTACCCATGAGGATGTGCAATCCCTATGCCCGGAGTCTGCACCTTCCCCACTGCGTGCCCAGTACTGCTCAGCCTGGGAGTACCTGCCTCTGGCATGCTGGGGCAAACTGGGCGAACCAGGTCTCTGCTGCTGGCTGGCCACAGGTAGAAGGAGGCATGGGGAGCCAAGCCCAGAAGAGATCCAGCAGTCTCTTGCTGCTGGATCCACACTTGCTGCTGAATCCACAGGCCAAGCCAGGTCTCTGCTGCCTGTAGTCTTGAATTGGCTCCAAAGCAGTGCTGGGACTGAGAGCAACAATCAGCTGATTGTCGGTCCCAGCCCCCACGATGCACTGGAGTCTTGAATTCGTATTATCTCTGTGGAGCAGTTCAATGATGGCTGAACACATGTTAGGTAGTACAATCTGGAGATATTGCTACATTTAGCATGTGTTTTACTGCTTGAATGTGCAATGCTGACATTTTAAGTGCAGTTAACATGTCCTAAGTGTACTGTGTGACATGGCCCTTGCATAGGAAGCACTCTGCAGAGGGAGCCGTGATGATGTGATCAGCAACAGAGTCTGCCTAGATTCTCAGTCTCATGTGTTAACACCAAAGGCATGTTGCCATCATGACTAAGAGGATGGGTTGGTCACTGGCATCCATACTGGAATAAGACAGAAAATACGGTTCTAGCAATAATCCCAGGCTCCTTCATTGGAAGTAATGATCTGTAAATGACTTCTATAGCTTTAATACAAAGGGTAATTCCCTACTGTTTGCCAGACCTGGCTATAGCAGAAACAAAAATTCACAGCCTTATATATATGTTTATCTGTTTCTGCTTCGTTCCCACCCACCTTTAATGGTTTTTAATCCTAAAAAGATGAAGCCACTTTGCACAGCCTTAAGCTTTGTCTTTCCCAAGATGCTCTTAATTGTATCTCTGCACCTCTTCCCATTCACAGATGCATAAGAAGATTAAAGACAGAGAGAATGGTAATAGACTTGGTTAGGTTTTAATAGGATTTGCTAAGGACACTGCAGAGAGTGTGCACCATAGAGAGCATTGCCTTTGATACACTGAAGGCTTCTTAGGCAGCTCCCCACAGGAGACTCTTTCTCTGCGCCGAGTTCAAAGACCAGATTCTTGATTTTTCAATAGAACAAATATGTTCTGTAAAAAAATAATGCATTATCTATGTCAGGCTTTTAAAAACCTTTGGCTTAGTAAAGAGGATGTTATCGTGTAACCAGACAAGAGCTATCAGCACTCATCTAGTTTTGTGCTGTTTGTTTGTAATTGGCTAGAATGGTTTTGTACAAAACACATGGGCTTTTAGTAGAGATCGAAGGAGACAAATTTTCCAAAGTATCTCCTGATTTAAGATAAGATGCCTTAGAGCATTCCTGATTTACAGAGATTGACTCTTGAGCAGTTTCTGTAAATCAAATTCCTTGAAGCCCTCTCAACTGGAGCACCTGGAAAGTTAGGCATCAGAAATCACAAGACCTTTTTGAAACTCTCGGTCAAGGTATTTAGAGTTCCCAGCCTACTTGCAAAGCCTTAGCCTTGCATAAAATGTGCCTAAGGAGCTTTGAAAAATGTTGAGGAATTAAATCAATAGCAAGACACATGCAGACAGGACCCCAATTCTGTTGTATTCTGTATCACTTCTAGGACCATGTACCTCACTGTCTTACCTGAATGCTTTTTCCAGTATTGGCTTAAGCAGTATTACTAAAGTCTTTGCTTTTTGGAGAGCCAATTCATTCTAAGAAACTGTTTAACATCCCTGCTTTTTTCAGCATCCTAGCCAACCAGTGTCACCATAAAGATGTTTAATAGTTAGGTGCCATTCTTTGGCCTTCCAAAGAGGCATCCAGATATAATGTTAGAAGAGAGGAAATGGCCCTACTGGAAAGTTTTTCAGAAGTAGGATGAACTTTGTCCCAGCACTGAATCACTTTGGGACAAAGCCTTTCAATACAGTAATGTTACACAGCATCTTAACACCCCTTTATATAATCAGTCATAGCAGCTCACTTGCTAAAACAGCACTGTTTTTATCTGACGTTCTTTTCCTGGTATCTTAATCTTTATTTTTCTTTCCCTCCCCTAGGCAAACCATGGCTGGAGACTCTAGGATCTTCATGGACCAGGACATGGATATTGGAGTCACATCCAGGGAGTCCAAGAAGATGCATAAACAACCGCGAGACTTTGTCCCTATTGCCACCGACCGAACTCGCCTCCTGGCACCCGAAGTCAAGAAGCCACGCCAGCGGTACATGGAGAAAAGTGGCAAGTGCAACGTGCACCATGGAAATGTCCAAGAAACCTACCGGTACCTTAGTGACCTCTTTACTACACTGGTGGACCTCAAATGGCGTTTTAACCTTCTTGTCTTCACCATGGTCTATACCATCACTTGGTTATTTTTTGGCTTCATTTGGTGGCTTATTGCCTACATCCGAGGAGACCTGAACCATCTTGAAGATGAGAACTGGATTCCTTGTGTGGAAAATCTCAGTGGATTTGTCTCTGCATTTCTGTTTTCCATTGAAACCGAGACAACCATTGGGTACGGCTATCGGGTCATCACCGAGAAGTGCCCTGAGGGCATTGTACTGCTCCTGATACAGGCTATCCTGGGCTCCATAGTCAATGCGTTCATGGTGGGGTGCATGTTTGTCAAGATCAGCCAACCAAAGAAGAGAGCTGAGACCCTCATGTTTTCCAACAATGCTGTGATTTCCGTGAGGGATGAGAAGCTCTGTCTAATGTTCCGGGTTGGGGACCTCCGGAATTCACACATCGTCGAGGCGTCCATTAGAGCCAAGCTGATTAAGTCCAAACAGACCAAAGAAGGGGAGTTTATCCCCTTGAACCAAACAGACATCAATGTGGGCTTCGACACTGGGGATGACAGGCTGTTCTTGGTGTCACCACTCATCATCTCACATGAGATTAATGAGAAGAGCCCCTTCTGGGAGATGTCACGTGCCCAGCTGGAGAAGGAAGAGTTCGAAATTGTGGTCATCTTGGAAGGGATGGTTGAAGCAACAGGTAAGGCTTTACTAAAAGCAAGTAGCAGGGAGCAAAGAGGGCACTGAAAGTCCATGTTTGCTGATATCACTGAGACTAACATCATGTGGGTCTTTGTTCCCCTCTTGTGGGTGGTCCATATGAAACACTGGAGTCTCATATAGCCCAAGTGGCTCAACAACTGTCCCAGTTCTTTCCCATATTTAAAACAGGCTATAACTGAACTATATTAAGTGTCACTTCATTGTTGCTGCTTGGATGTGGCTCCTCTACCTTCAGTCACCACGCTGAGTTGAGAGCACGGAGGGTGGATATTTGCTGCATGTTTTCCCCAACATAGCCAGACTAAAGGTCTCAATATCATATTGACGTTCCCATTTGTGGAAAGTATAATTATGAGAAAGTTGTAACAATGGGTTTCTAGCTGAAGTTCGGTGGGGGTTGGTGACCAGATGAAAATGGAATATCAATGTAAATATTCTAGTTAGCGAGAACTAGTTAAAACTGGAATAGGCTCTAGGGAGACACTCTGGAAATATTGCTTAGGCCACTCAGAAGTGAACTGGAGGGAAGCAGGAGGGAAAACAGAGAAGGAAACTATCAGTTCTGCATTCACCCCAAATGGCCTAATGAAAGAAGGAGCCCAATATCCATAACGTCCAGATCTGGATCCAGATTTTGAACATGAGTTCAGAGTGGTTTGGATTTGGGAGCTTGAGATGAGGCTCCAGTCTTGTTTCTTGCTCTATTTAAAAATGGGAGTTCTGGGTGAGTCGCTTTATGCCAAAGTTAATAGTAAAAAATGTCAGCATATGCTAACGTTTATTTATTTGCATATACATAGTGTATCTCATGACATACTACATGTGTGTGACAGGATATCAGACCTTCTCACAAACTTCATCACACATTCTGAATAAAATAACCCCTCGGTGCAGATCAGGGATGGCAAATAGATTAATTTTCCTACCACAGCAACACAGCCACCTCTGGGGGGAATGCAACTACCATTGAACAGCATAAAAATGCTATGTAACAGTTATGTTAGGTGATATATGGCTGGCCAAGTTTGCTTTCCATGCCAAAGTCTCATTGTACATGAATAAGTGGTACCAAATCTGCAGTGCTGACTTTCTCAGGGGACTTTGGAAAGGGTGCAGAAAGGCAGGCAAGAGACAGGTTTCATCAGTCTCATCTCATGGCTAGTCAGTTTAGGGTGTCCAGCTTGAAACACCTAAAAAGGAGCCTAATTTTCAAGAGGGCTGAGCACTGTCTCTCTGGAGATCACATCCCTATAACACCCAGTTGGTTTTGAAAATGTTGGCCCCTCAACAGAATGAGAGGGACACAATTTCTACAAGCTGGAAAATTCACAAAACTCTCCGAATACTGGGAAGAGAAACCAAAGAAACGAGTGTTGAGTGAAGGGAAGTGACTTGCAATGTATAGTTATATGAGACGCAAGCTCACTCTTCTAGCTCTGTGATCTCCTTGTCCAAAATAATAGTCCTGAAAACTCAGATGAAAGTCTTTTTTTAAGTCACTCCAAAAAGAGAATTAATCTGAGGTGTGGACTCTTTTCAGTGTCCTCCCCATGGTCAACGGTATTACTAGCCCCAAACATTCAAAAATCCTGGCATTGGCATAAACACAGTGAGTTGCTTTCTTTTTAATAATCCTTTTTTTTTTTATTACTTCTATGTCTGTGAAGGTTTTCTTTTAACTTTTTGGGTGAGCTTGAGTCACATTTTCAAGTTGTTTTGTGAAAATCCGAGAGCTAGAAACTTAGAAATTAAGTTCAGCTTTTTTTTTTTTTTAAAGTTGAAAGTCTCATAGACTCACACTACTCCATGATTTAAGAAGGAAAAATCAGATATTACAAGTTTCCTGACAGTCTCAAGAGTTGGCAGCCTCATTCAGAGCTAGAACCTGCAATCTCCCTAGTTCCCTGTGGCCATTACTCCACATATAATGGAGCCATTATGGTCCAGATTGTGTTCTCCCACAGCAGTGTAAGTCGGTGAGTTAATTTAAGGTAGATTCTCTCTGTTGCCTATTGAGTGAAGAGAAAATCTACAGAGGTAATCCAGAAGGTCAGCTGTGATATCTGTCTGACGGGGTCAGTTGTGAAAGTAGCTGGTTTGAAGTAGTCCTCACCCCTTGGCTTCCACTATAGCCCTTTCCAGGGGGCGTGCAAGGTAGAAAAGGGGGATCACAGGGGAAATAGTTCTAGAAACAGAAATACATCAAAGTAAAAGCACTCTTAAAGGGGCCCTATCAAGGATCTCCAAAGATATGGCTAAAGAACATATCACAGATATGTTCTTTAGCCAGATCAGCCCTGCTAAACAGCAGGGTTTTACCAGCCCTTCAAATGCAGCAGGCATTTCTATGTGCAGGAGTGCATGCTTCTCAGCACCGAGTGCATTACAGACCCCTATGCACCTCTCTCCTGTGCCAGCTGTGCTTCTGCGGTATATACCAGTGTCCTGCCTGGGCAGTGGGCCTTCCCAGCTGAGCTGAGCTGAGCTGAGCTGTCATGCTAGGGCAGGGGTGGTGGCCAGACTCCTTGCTTCTGCCAGGGATCTGCTGTGTGACCTTGAACAAGAACCTGTGCCCTTCTGTGTCTCAGTTTCCATATCTACAGGACTTGGAGGGTGTTGCTGACCCACTTCACCAGCAGGTTTGTTCTCAGGCTTAGTTTACAAGGAGATCCTTTGTGGCGATGGAAGGCAATACTGCTTCCAAAAAATTGTGAGCAAGGAGGGAAGCTGATCAAGGAGTACAGTCTCCAGGGAGCCCTGCCAGCAATGGCTCTCCTGGAACCCACTGAATCAACACTTCATCTTGCAACTCAGACCAGCCCCTCCCTGGCTGAGTGATTGTACCCCTGGGGCATGGTCCCAAGCACAGCAGGATGGAGTGGCATCTTGGGTGCATAACATCCCCTCAGAACAGATTTTTTAGCTGTCCAAAAGCTGTTGTCCCCCTCTCTGTGTCCCATCCTCCCGTCTCCCCACCTCCAACCCTCCAGGTATAGACAGTCAAAAAGCTTAAGGCTGAATCAATTCAGTCTTTGCAGGATAGTTGAAGATGCACAGATTAAATTGACACAGAAGTGAACAGGAAATGATTCAGGAAAATGCAGCCACATGCCTGCAGTGGCTCAGGCCAGAAGCCAGGGGATGCTAGAGCATGGCTCTCTGGCTGTGTGTTCACTTGCTCTTCCTGTGGTCTCTGGGATTTGCAGAACAGAATCACAACAGCAGGACTCTGCAGGGTTGCTCAGCACTTCCTCTTCCTGCTTCCAGGTACCTCTTGGATTTGTAGTCCACAGTTGCAGCCAGCGGTAAGTTTGAGCAGGGGAAGGGGTGTTTAACTCCCCACCCTGGCCCCAGACCCCAGCCAAGTTTTGCTGGTAAGGGGGGGCAATCCTCCCCCTGTAGACTGGACTGTCAGCCAGCCGTCAGTCCTCCAGCCCAGCCTAGGGCTGTAAAGGATGCTGGGATGCTGGGGGATTATGATTTAACTTGAACCAGGAAGGGGTCTGGGACAGAAGTTTTCATAAACCAGTTTAACCCAAATCAGTTGAGTCTGATACTACATTCAACCAGGTTTATCTTAAACCAGTTTCAGCCTTTTTGAAACTGGTTTATGTGCACTGAACTTCTGTTCTGTTACAGATTTAAACCAATTTCTGAACACTTAAACCGGTTTATGCGCTACTTCTGTCCCTAGCCCATCTCTTTGGCTCTGTGTCCTTGTAACCTTTGGCAAGCAATATAAGCTCTCTGTGCCCCAGTTTAAGTGGGGAATCCCTGCCATGCTTTCATTGGGTGCTGCAGTCTCTAAAGCTCTTTGTGGGTGGTTTTGAGAGGCAGGCCTTCCTGTGCTCTGTGGAGTGGGTCTAGCAACCAGGACTCTTCCCAGTGGGATCTCTTGGATGGGGAAGAAACAGGAAGGCACTGCCAAGTCAGACAGTAGTGTGAGGCTTCGGGAATTCAGTCCCAACTGGAGAACACAGAGTTGGCTCAGGAAAGCCCCCCCAGCTGGGAGGCAGCGAGAGGCAGCTGAGTCTCGGTGACTTTGGAGCCACAGAGCAGGGTCATTTCAGGAGCAAGGGAGGTTCTGTCTAGAAGCCATGGCTAGGAGCTCTGCATCCAGGACAGCTGCCATACTTATACTGTACTTCACAGATAGATCTGCCTCTTGGTATTTACAGATTTCAGCCATACAAAGAGACTGTAAAGCCAGAGATGTTGTTTTTAATTCCTGAAAGGACCTGTACAGATGTTCCCTGAAGCACCAGAGGCCTCTTTATTAACCTGAGCACCAAGGGATGACTCTCTCCAGCTGCACTGACTCTAGCCATCTCCCACTGTTAATATCACTTCTTACCAGCAGTGCTTGCATAGGGAGCTCAGTTATTACTGAACCTTGAAACAGCCTTTGCCATACCAGCTGGGACGTTACATGCAAAATTTATGGGGTGGAAAACCCAACTTATCTGAAACTAACCACCATTAAAGAACCAATTCTTCTGCCTCCAGAAATATCTATGATCTTGCCATCACATTGTCAGGAGTAACACAATGGACAGAGCAGGTGGAATGCAATTTAATTTAATTTGATAAATCAAACCCTAATACAGATGACTGAGCCATGCCCTCTTCCGGCCCTGGCAAATCCCAAGACTGGAGAGCCTGGTGGGGCTGGTCTGTATCAGAGCAGGCTTTAACACAGATGCTCCTACAGAAAGCCAGATCCCCAGCTACCATAATCAGCAGCGTTTCAATGGAGCTACAGCAGGTTATGCCAGCTGCAAATATGTTTCAGGAGCTCAAAAGGCAGAATAGCAAGGGATGTGAAGGGTAACAAGAAGGGTTTCTACAAGTATGCTGGTAGCAAGAGGAAGATCAGGAAAAGTGTGAGTCCCTTACTGAATGGGGGAGGCAACCTTGGGACAGAGGATGCAGAAAAGGCTGAAGTGCTCAATGCCTTTTTCACCTCAGTCTTCACAG